GGCTCGTGATGCCTTTTGGGTAATCTAACACACCGAGCACTTTCATGCGCCTCATGAACCAGGTTTTACGTCCTTTTCTTAATAACTTTATCGTAGTTTATTTCAATGACATACTTGTCTATAGTAAAACAGTTGATGATCACTTAACACACTTACAAACCTTATTTCAAGCTCTTCAAGACAATCAGGTATACATTAACCTAGCTAAATGCTCCTTCCTCACTAGTGAAATAGCATTCCTAGGCTTTTATATATCAAAACATGGTATCTCGGTCGACCCTTCAAAGGTTGAATCTATTCAAAACTGGCCTACTCCCACATCTGTTAGGGATATTCAATGTTTCCTAGGCTTGGCATCCTTTTATCATAAATTTATCCGACATTTTAGCTCTATTGCAGCCCCATTAACAAATGCCCTGAAAAAAGGTAAATTCGGTTGGGATAAGGAACAAGACATTAGCTTCCAAACTCTGAAACAAAAGCTTAGTTCCACACCCATTTTGACCCTACCTGACTTTTCCCACCCCTTTGAAGYTGYCGTAGATGCTTCAGGAATTGGCATAGGGCCTGTGTTGTCCCGACGGAAGTTACGGAACCACCCAATAGAATACTTTAGTGAAAAGCTTACCCCGCCTAGACAAAAGTGGTGTACTTACGAACRAGAACTTTCTGCTTTAATTAGAACTCTCAAACAGTGGGAACGYTATCTAATTGGCAAGGAATTCATACTATTCACGGACCATTTCTCTCTTAAATACATACAAACACAAAAAACAATTAATAGAATGCATGCTAGGTGGATTGCTTTTCTTCAAAAATTTGATTTTGTAATCAAACATAAAGCTGGAACAACTAACAAAGTTAYTGATGCTCTTAGTAGGAAGGCTAGCCTATTAACTCTACTCACTGGACGAGTAATTGCCTTTGGTCATTTACCAAATACATATGAACATGACAGTGACTTTCATACTATTTGGCTCCAATGCCATGAGCATGTTAACAACAATGATTTCCATATCCTTGATGGGTACCTCTTTAAGGGGACCGTTTATGTATCCCACACACATCTTTAAGGGAGATATTGATCCAAGATTTACATAGCGGAGGATTGGCTAGGCATTTAGGCAAGAGACAAAACATATGAACTAGTGGCTGCTCGTTTTTTTTTTTTTTTTGCCACAGTTGAGAAAAGATGTTAATAATTTTGTCAACAGATGCAATATTTGCCAAAAAGCCAAGGGTCAATCTCATAATACGGGATTATACTGCCCTCTCCCTATCCCTACAACTATTTGGGAAGATCTTTCTATGGATTTCGTTCTGGGATTACCAAAAATACAACGAGGATATGACTCTGTCTGGGTCGTGGTTGACCGGTTTAGTAAAATGTCTCCCTTCTTACCATGTAAAAAAACTTCGGATGCTATATATGTGGCTAATCTGTTCTTCCGAGAGATTGTCCGTTTACACAGCATACCAAAAACAATAGTGTCCGACCGTGATGTCAAATTTCTGAGTCGTTTTTGGAAAACCCTATGGAAGAAATTTGACACCAGCCTCAAATTTAGTACTACCAGCCATCCACAAACGGATGGGCAGACGGAGGTAACAAATCGCACCCTCGGCAATCTAATACGATGCTTAGGGGGGAGCAAACCGAAGCAATGGGACCTTACATGGCTCAAGCAGAATTTGCATCTAACCATATGCGCAACCGTTCGACAGGGAAGTCTCCCTTTGAAGTTGTTTATACAAAATTACCTAGGCTTACTGTGGACCTAGCTCATCTTCCCTCTTCTATTGACTTGAATCAGGAAGCTGAGGAAATGGCGGAAAGAATAGTAGAACTACACAAGGAAGTAACGAAGATTCTTACCAAGGCTGCAGCGGCCAACAAAGCAGCAGTAGATGCCCACCGAAGAGTGAAGACATTTGAGGAGGGGGATTTGGTCATGGTTCATTTAAAGAAATCCAGATTTCCAACAGGGACTTACAGCAAACTCAGTGACAAAAAGATTGGCCTATTTGAAATACTTAAAAAGTATGGCGACAATGCATACCGAATCAACCTTCCTACTGATCTAAGGATCACTCCAGTCTTCAATGTTGCAGATCTGTATAAGTATCGAGCTGAAGACGCATTTACATTGGCCAACTAAACTCGAGAACGAGTTTTCTTCAACAAAGAGGGARTTTGATGTAATCCGTTAAGTTACCTTATGTTATATAAGAGTTAGTCTTAGTACTTTCTGTTTTAGTTAGTTCGTTTTAGTTAAGTATGCTTTAGTCCTTGGTTGGTCTCTTATAAATAGCCAACCCACTCCTTTGTACAAGGCAGAATCAGAATAAAGAGTTTTCTTCAAGAATTGGTTTACACCAGAGAGTGTCAGTGGCCTCGAGGATTGGCAAATCACCAAAAAGGATGGTGGGGGTAATAGGAGTATTAGGGTTGTTGCAGATGGGTAGGATTGGACTATCCTCGGGAAGAGGGCTAGAGAAATAGTTCATTTCATCGTGGCCATCAAAGGTGGGGCTGTCTTGGATAAATCGAGGTTTCCGTTTTTGGAAGAGAGGGGATGGGTAGTGTTTCTCCCGTACAGTCACGTCTCACGTGATCCCTACCTTTATTGATAATTAATGGCTTTGTACCATGACAGTAGGGGGCAGGGCAGAGGAGGCAGGGTGGTCATTGACTTGTGCTTTTCCTTTTGTCAAGGACAGAGAATTTCGTGATGGGTCCACATCCCTGTCAAATGATTACGTGCAGCAGAGGCAAATGGCCTTGCACCTTGGTTTTCGAGCCCAATAGCAGCAGTCTCGATGCAAACCGCGCCGGAGGGAGTTTGACAGCGGGGATGGCTAGCTCCGGCAATGTTGTTGTATGGTTGTCCTGGGGCCTTATTGGCAGGTCTACGATTTCCGATCAAATTACTGGCAATGAAGAAAGGATCAATGTGAACAAGGAGGTCATCTTCATGTGTAATGGCAGATGGGATCTCTACAGTCGCTGGAATGAAGCCATAGCCGTTGTTTCTGATCTTAATCCTCAGTTCCATAAGATCTCTAAGGTTTGAAGCTGCCTTCGATATTTCTAAGAATCCACTGCACTTGTCACTGATGTAGGGGATGATGGTATCGGTCCACAGATGAAGGGTAAGATCCCGGATTGTGATCCAAACTCCATAAGATGGAACTTGACGATTGGAGTTTATATTCTTCGTGCTCCATATAAGGAAGYGAAGTTTGCATGGCCAAAGGTTTGCCAATCGTCAGTGAAGGTGAGTGCAATGGCTTGTTTGTCATCTTCACATCTGAGGAGGGCTATATCAGGGTGAATGRGGTTGATGGAGCAGAAGTCACTCAGCGACTCTTGAATGGTCTGAAGGATGGAGTACCAATCATCATGTAAGGAATGACATTGAACAATGATCCACGACTCCATTCGAAGATTTTAGGGATCAAGGTCGATTTTGAGGGAGAATCTGTGGTTTGGTTGTAAATGGTCGGCGACTGCTCATTAGAAATAGGGTTCTGTTGAAGAGAAGGGTGGTTTAAATGATCCCCGATAGAAAGGCAGTGTGCCTTAGGTTTGTCATCAGAGGGGTAGTTATGGAGGAGATTGTAAAATGCCTTCCATCCATCCTTTCCAACACCATAAGGAAGCATAATCCTATTCTTGCCTCCATTACTGTCAAGCTCGTTAATCTCAAGCCAATAGCCTTTCTTGTTGCTCAACTTCTCAATCCAAAGGGTGTAGTCATCACTACGGTGTTCTTTGAAGAATTTGTGTGTGAGTGAGGAGTCTAGCAGTAGGTTGATAGATGAAGAAAGCCAGTAGATGAATGCCCAAGTCAGGGAAAGGGAGTAGGTGACATCCCTTCCAATCTAGAATAAGCGGGCACGACTCCCTCAGAAGAAATCATCAACCTTGATCGAGAAGGTTTTACACTCTATCTTAGCTTTACGGGCAGGGTAGTTTCAAGTGTTCATTATGTTCGGTAGAAGGGTGGGAGAGGCGGGTAGGGGATGGGATAAGGTAGCTAGGGGAAGAGAAGGCCATGGTTACCGGCTGCGGTGGGGTGGTGGGGGTGGGTGGCTGGTTGGTTGATGGTTGGGGAGGGAGAAGAGTACGGAGAGAACATTGGGTTTCCTAGCAATGGTTTGCTCTCTTCTCTCTCTTAAAAAGCATGTATTTTGTCCGACTCAAGATATTTGGTCAAATCTAGTTGCATATTCTATTTAGACACTCACAAATCACCCGTGGTTTTGATATTTTTTGCAGAGTTCAACAGTTCTCAGAAGGCTAAGAAGCAACCAATGACTACTCATCTTCACCAAAGGCTTAGTATAGACTTCAATTTTTCTTTTTTACCAAGAAACGAACTTCTTGTTGAAATAATAAAAAGGAACAAAAATGTTCAACGATACAAACTCTCGAAAGAGTGAACGATAAACAGAAAAAACTAAAAATGGGAACAAAAAGTACCCCAATTACAACAAATAAGAGAAGAATAATAGTTCTCAACCACTGAGAGGCTTTAAACTTAACTAGGCTAAACCGATCGAACGAAGATTGAAATTGGGGAAGTATAGATTTCAGTTGTTGCAAATGAGTTAGTTAACTGATCAACAACTTCTAGATTTTGTCACTTACAGCCTTGCTATTCATGAAAATTATGCATCTAATTCTACATTGTATCCCATCTAGCTTTCTTGAGCGTCTAAAATATATAGACATTGGCTTTCATTCTACATAGGTCAACATTATACAATACTACAACTCAACTCTCAATCTTGGGCCAAACAATTCCATTCCTTCTCCATCTTGAGGGAGAGCATTAGTGTATATCATTAATTGTGGTAGTCAAATACAGCAGCTAGATTCAGTCCGTAGTTGTTTATTATGATTGATAATAAAAAAAAAAGGTAAAAAAAACTAAACTTAATGAACATGAACCTCCAATCACCCATGAGAATATAAGAAAGCAATTGTACCATTCGAGGATCCAACAAGCCGCCCTCAATGGGTTTCCGAGTGGTATCATAATATAAGCCTTTGTACACCTGAACTTCAGCCATTTTGCTAATTTCAGATCCGGAGAACGTAGTAAACTGCATACTCTTGCTACAGAAAGAGCCAAACAAAAAAATAGACATAAAAGATTATAGACTAATAATAACCAGCATCTTAATATGATGATTAGAAACCAATTAATCTTACATTTTACGAGGTCCAACATCCTCAATGTATGGTTCTTTAGTGAACACCAGACCTTCCACTTGCGCTCTATTCATCTCCGATCAAAGATGAAGACAACAACTAAAAGATTTTAAGTCTGATGGCGAAAAGCAACAAGTCGAAACTTCGTGACTGCGTCCTCACAAGTCTCCCCCTAATTCAAATTACTTGAATATTTGATGCAACGAGCAAAAACACAAAGTAAATGTCAGATTAAATAACAATCCAACTTGAACAAAATTCCATGAACTTAGAAACAAATTACAAGCAGAATGCTTTATATTTCGATAAATTCCACCCAAATAGATTGCTAAAGCAGCATTAGAGTTTCGAAACGAGTGTGAAGCATGAAGAGGAGAGATGGTAGTGAATACCAGAGAAGTCGGGCATGAGAATGAAGAGTGGGGAGAGAGGCGGCGGCCGCACTGCTGTGAGGAACTGTGACAGCGGCGGTGGCAGCACTGTCGTGATGAGCGGCGCTGACGGCGGTGCTATTAAACTGCTGAGAGGGAGGGGAAGAAAGCGTAATGTGAAGAGAGAGGTTGGGGTTCGGTTGGTTTGTTTAAGGGAAAGAACGTGGTTAACAGGGGTGAACATTTGAACACCGGCTGGTTTGGGTTGAGGGAGTGGCTTTGGACCAACCCAAAATCGGCTCTTTTACCCGGTGAACCCAATCAAGTTTGCAACTCAACCCACTTCGATCCTTATATTTTCGGGTCAGATTGGATTTGACGAGCCGTTTGTAATAATGAAAAATAACTCTGCGGGTACCCAATCTGATGGGGTCAGGAATCTCCGATTTGACCCGGATCCTAAACGGGGTCCCTGACGAGAACAGGTCTCCCCGCCCCATCCCGTTTAATATTTTATTATTTTTTATATCTTTTATATATAATAATATTAATATATATTAGTTTTAATTAATACTTTTTTAAATTTTTTTGAAAAAAGCCCGATCACAATTCTTATTTAACCACATTTCCTTTAATTTTAACTCCCATTAAAATATATATATATAAAAGTAAATAATAAATATATTTATCAAGAAATCTCCGCCCCGTCCTCACCTCCAAAAATTCGGAGACGGTAGGAGTGTAGACGGCTCGATTCGGTCGACTTGATGGTAGAACCAAAACTATACAGTATAAAATATAAAAAATTGAGCTGACTGATAAATTCTTCTTAAACCGCGCCTAACCAACCGAAGAACCGACAGGTTCGTCGGTGTGGCTTGGCGAGTAAATCGCACACGTGCGGATGAGATTGAGGCGCAGGTTCGGGTCTAGGCGAGTGGGTTCGCACGTGTGGAATTGGGCTGGACCTTGCACGGTTCAGGCTGAGCCTGCATATCTGTTTGGGCCAGTCCTCAATTGTATTACTAAGGGAAATTTAAGTAAATGGCTAAATTTGGTCCCCCACTCAAGAAAATGTTCCTTAGTTTATAATTTTGCAAAAATGGCTAAAGGATMGATTAGGAATTTTACAYTTTTAAGTGTTTTCTCCATAATGTCCTTCCTACGTTTTAAACGTATTTAACAATCCAACAAACTTGCTATTCAATTCAAAACTTGATTCCTATCTTCAAGTGATTTTATCTTCATTATTTTAATTCTTTTATTAGTAATTTCACTTAATTTAAACGTATTACAATGTTCCACGGTCTTCATCTCATCCTTCTGCCATTCTACTATATCTTCTTCTTTTAGCTCCTTATTTCTTTGTAACAATGGTGAATGTAGTAATCACAATTTTATATGGTGGTACGTGAAATGGAAAAAATGGATACAACAATTTCTTTAACAAKGGATTCTTTACCTTTTTATGTTCTACCTTTCTTCTTAAATTTGTAGCCTTCTTTGGACGCGCATCCTCATCAGATTCTGTCTCTGAAACATTTTTAGAAGTTAAGTTATTTACCTTATCTTCATCGGTASATTCATTATTCAYCCTTTYATTTTCTTCATYAGTTTTTGTATCATCCTTATATTAGAAAAATTATCAAAATTATAAGATCAGTAAATGTATATACCAATTGATGATAAACCAATATTAGAATACAATACACGTACGTTACGTACATATCGCAACTCAATCATCAAAATTAAAACGTCCATATATGTATGTACTAATAATTCAACAATTAACAAAACATGAAAGTTGATAGATGTATATATCAATTCAAGAAACAACCAAGTACGTAAGTGTATACATCTATTTACTGTTGTACAACTAAAGTATCATAAATAAATAAACTAGTAAATGTATATCCCAATAAATTAAAACATCTATATATGTATGTACTAATAATTCAGCAATTAGCAAAATATGAAAGTAAATAGATGTATATATCAATTCATAAACCAAATTAAAACGTCAATATATCTATTGACTTCTGTACAACTATAGTAAGTACATGTATATCCCAATAACTACCTCATTACCAACCTCCTCTCCTTCAACTATCTTGATACCTTTTCCTTTTCCCTTAAACATAAAATTAGAATTAAATTAGTGAATCTAATTTTAAAATATTACTATTCAACAKCAACATCTTTTGAGTTCTTACCCAAGTTTCCTCCACCTCTCTTTTTGCTGGTCTCATTCAATTTTTTACCTTTCTTTCCCTTATTTATTGGAGTCTCTACTTGAGTCCTTGATGATTCAATCTGTATATATAAAGATAAAGACATCTATGGAAAGATTTAAAAAAAAAACAAATAACTCATATATAAACTGTTGTATCTATACCTTTTCTTCACTATCTAAGGTGATTGTACAGGTTTTTGTGCAGGTTTTTCTTCGACGTCCTGCTATTCCACCAACCTTTAATCGTTCACTTGATCGTCGAGTTATTCCACCTCTAACTTTAACCATATAGAAAGTTTGTTGGAATTAAACACATATACTCCTCAATTTTGGTTATTAACAACACGCTCATGTGTAGGCCCCACATTTATATATTTAAAAAATACACCTGAAATTTAGGAAGACAAAATATATCTTTTTAAAGTAAGCTTTATACACAAAATAAGAACAAAGATTTTACCTTCCTCTCACACTAGAGGAACAGTCTTGGCGACGACGTGATGGGAGCGGCCGCTGGATGGGAGCGGCGGCGGGATGGAAACGACGGGGGATGGGAGCAGCAGCGTGATGGAAATTCTCGGCGTCGTCGGCTGCTATCTTCTGCGGTTGAATGGGAGCGGCGGCGGGATGAAAAGGGTGGGGTATGRGAGCGACGACGTGATGGAAATTCTCGGTGTCGTCGGTGACTATCTTCTGCGGCTGTYTTCTGCRRYGWCGTGGGCTTAAGGATTTCGCCAAGACTGTTATGCGGCTGTCTTCTGCTGCTGTAGCTGTCTTCTGGGCGTGAAAACAATTAGATAAGGTGTTTTTTTTTTCTTTTTGAGTTCTCTCATGTGATTTTTTTGAAAACCCTCATTTTTTAAAAAAACAATTAAAATATTCCTCCCTAATAATATTTACTCTCTTATTTTGTAAATCTTATATTAAAGATAGGTAAATTTCAAAATCTACCACAACTCAATCTTATTAATTTTAATAATATTTACTCTCTTGATTTTTTTAAAACAAATAGGCTTATTCCTCCCTAATAATATTTACTCTCTTATTTTGTAAATCTTATATTAAGGATGGGTAAATTTCAAGATTTATCCAACACAATCTTATCATTTTTTTTTAAATTTACTTTATTAGCAATTTTAAATTAGAATTAAGATAATTATTTTAATYTGATTTATTTTTTATTAGATACCGTTGATTCCCTAATATTAAGGTCGGTTGTTTTTGTTATTCGTAAAAATCTTAAATCCCTAAAATTATGCATATATACCTAACTTGTTACAAGGGTATATTTGTCTAAACATTTTTTCAGTATTTAAAAAAAATCATTTAGCTATTATTGCCATATCAGATAGGTTTAACATTTTTTAAAACGAGTTATTAAATTTGGTCATTGCTGCACTTGCCCCTTTATTTTTTCTGTTTTTTTCTCTCTCTCTTACACGGAAGCAACAACTCGTTAAATTAACGGATGCAGAAAAAGAAAAAATAATAAATAATTTTGAAATTACATAAAACTTTMCAAGAATTTAAGATATATTTTAATGTTAAAGTTTCAATTATAATGATATAATCAAATTCATTATCATTTTACTAATAATATATTATATAATACTTTCRATGTCTTAGAAGTTAGAACTATAATTATTATAATAAAATTCTAAATTAACATCAACAGTCAATTGAATAATGAAAAGTGAAGAGTTAATAGTCAACAATATATTGCTATTTAGTATTTGCTAATGAAATTATAAATCATAAATAAAAGTAAACAAATGTCGAGTAGCACTAAGAAAAACAAATTGCAATAAGTCCAAAATTTAAAATAAACAATAAAATCTAAAAGACAGTAAGACACTGAAAAGTTATTAAATTGTAAACGTAAACTCAAACATTAAAATTTAAACAACAATAGTTCATGAAGCCTTCTCTTTTCCTTATGTAATCTTATCCATGTTATTATTTGTTGCTTCATCTAATGTACATTTTGTTGAAACCTGCAAAAGTAAAAGGAAGTTATAATTAACTTATTAACATTAGAAAACATAAACATATATGATATATGTAATTCTTTAATGAAGTTCCAAACCTTCTTCAATGCGAGAAACTTCCTCCAAATGTGATCAAAGGTTAATACTAGTAGCATTTAAGCGTAGCCAATTTTGTGCACAAATAAGTGCCTTAACTATAGCTGGAGCCATTGTGGAGCGAAAATGATCAATTACTCTCCCACCAGTACTAAATGCAGACTCATAAGTAACAGTAGACACTGGAATTGCTAAAACATCTCATGCAACCTTGCTAAGAACCTTATATTTGGAAGAGTTTACTTTCCACCAGTCTAAGATGTTAAAATTCTCATCATCTTCTTGTTGGGTGTGTTGCCATAACCTCGTAGTTTGTATTTATGTAAAAACAAATGTATATTTAATAAAGTTTTATTCAATAAATTTATTGTTGAATTCATAGCATTACATTGTCCAAAATCCAATAAACTAAACATCCAAGGTTATTATCATGTAACCGGGACAGTATATATACTGGGTATATATTTGATATACTAGATATATATTTGATATACCCATGATATACGAGGTATATATTTGATATACCCCTGATATACRAGTGGATAATGTCCCATGAATTACCTAAAGGGTCTATAGTATATGGATAAGGCTGGGTACCTTATCATGGCAACACTATGGATACGRCCCACTTTGTAAATGTTACAGACGACTMGATCCAGATCGTTCGTGTGGAGACATGTGAGTGGGGATATCCTATACAATGAGTTTGTATAAGATCGGACCRTAAAATAGTCAATCTTTAGATGTAATACCGTTAACTAACAGATTGCTATTTCTTAGGATGACCAAACAACTCATTCTCAATTCTGAGTGAGTTATGGACTTCTGCCCATGAGGGCTCGTCCTTTGATCTGTATGGGTAAGAGTGGCCCAAAACACCGACTCAATATTCCTATCATTTTGGG